AGCAATTGTAGCATCAGCGCAGCAAGCGTGCATTCTGGCACCACCGTCTGCTGCACCTCAACGAGGTCACTGCAGACCCCTTGGAGATCCAGCACGCGCGGCGCACGGTAAACGTCCATCAAAAGGCGAAGCTTTCAGAGCGGGAAGTGTGTGTCGATGGCTGCCTGCAACAAATGACGATGCTGAACATACTCGAAGGCCTTCTTGAGATCCAGAAGCATAGTCCCTGAACAGTGACCCGAATAGCACAGTACTCAGACCAGGCACTGGATATCCATACACACTTCTCCGAAGAACGCCCCTTGGTGGACCACCAGAAGTGAAGGAAGTTACGCTTCTGCCACGCACTGATAAGCGGCCGACGGAAACGACACTGTAGACGGCAAGGCACGCGCAGCAGTCCCAGAGGTCGCACGCCTCCGAAGCGTCTCACGATGAAAACGATTCTGCTGCACATACGCGGCCAGGCCAAGTGCTGCTCTACGTGCGCAATGATGCCACAGAGCAACTCGATCGCCGCATCAGGGAGCAGGAGGAAGTTCCCGGGGCTGACCTGATCGAAACCAGAACCAGTTTTGACGGGGAAGGTGCGGATAACAGCTTTTAGCTGGTCAGGCGTGGGGGGCTCGGGTCGGTCTCCCAGGAACTCAGGCCAAACCGGGGGCTGCTTTTGAATGCGCACTATCCACCATCCTTCCCATTCCTTTTGCAACAAATCAACTTCCTCATGCAAGCTGGCTGGCCCGAGCGCGCAGTGGCCCATGCAGTTCGGCTGCCAGCCGATCGGGAGCGCAGAGAAGGAGAAGAGCGCGGAGGCACCGTTGACGGAGTGGGTGTCTATCCATTCTCGCCATTGCTGTTCCTTACGCCTAGCAGACTGTCGACGTTGATTTTGGGCAGCTTGATCGGCCCAGGAACGTAACTCAACCACCAGATCTTCAGGAACCCGAGTAATATTGTCCAGGATGTAGGCCCAGGAAGTGTAGAGGTCCTCTTGGGGCAACACATGGGACTTGGAGAGCTCGTGGAGCCTGTTGATGCTAGACGTCCAAGCATGCTGCTTCTCCGAGATTTTGTCCTGAGTGCGAACCAGATCCGCAAGAGCGAGCGAAACCTGCTTCCACCAAACAGCGAGCACCGAAAGCCTGGGAAATCGAACGGGCCCAGGTCGACGAACGGATTGGAAGCGAGGCTTGAGCGGCATCACTCGCCCACAATACTTGTCAGCCTCTCCAGGAGGAAGCTGGAAGACTCGAACCCACTCAAGCTCAGCAGCAGCGATAAATGCGCCCCACTTGGCATCTATCGTGTCAGCGTTTGAAATAACTGCTGCAGCGCCCTCCCAAAGCTCAGACTGGGG